CACCGAGCACCACGGCAACGGCACTATCTACGGCGGCRGCGGCGGCGAGGTTGCAATATAGGAAACCACCTGACACGCCCCCACCGTTTTCCCAGTCGTCACAAACTCACAAAGGATCCGCCACTCTCTATAGCTGCATCTTCTAATCAAGCGCGCGCGCGCACGTCACGTACATACGCACACGTACACACATACACACACAGTACACACAGACACCACATACGCATTGGTGCGCACACACACGCGCGCSTGAGACGCACGTATTACATACAATAATATATTATAGTTACAGATACATTTTATTATTATCATTGTTTTTTTTTTATTTTTTAAATTGTATTTTATTTTCTCTTTTGTACGCCACCGACTGATGTGAATAACTTATTAGCTCGGCGCTTGCTCCTCGCGTACGGCTGGCTGGTGGCGGTGGTGTCCCAAAAGCGGATTTTCGTCAAACAATAATAAATAATAATAATAATATCAATAATAACGCAATATCTTATTACCATTGTTGTTAATTTATTATAAAATCCGCTAAGATTTGTGATTTTGTCAGAATTTCGTTCCGCCGCCAACGTTGTGTTCCGTACGTATAATMATCCGTACGAATATTATTTGTGCCTTTTACATCGCAATCGCGTCAATATGGCGTAGTGCTGCCGTCCGTGTTCGTCTTCGTCGCCGCTGTCGTCGTCAAACCTCCGCCGTTAACGGTATCGTCGTAGGTAGTTCGGTAGGTAGGTAACCGTCGCCACTACCGTGCAGTGTCAGTGCGATATTATAATATAGCTTCAGCAATAATAATTACTATAACGATCATAAAGTTAGGGTRTTTTGCCTACTGGAAATTAAATAAACAGTCCAAACGGGGTCTTGCCTTCGTTATTGACGTTATTGTATAGTGCTTTTCCAATTTCAAAAGCTTTGTGTGCTACTAAGTAGATACAAAACGCCAAGTTCGTTGGTGGTGCTKTCGTTACTCGTTAGCGTGACTGAAAAAAATTGTCTCTGTTCCATGACTTCGACGGATTATTTTCCAACGATCCGACAGCGGACATCACCAATTCCAGTTACCTTGTAGCGCACTAACGTCGCTCGTCAAAACAAACATGACCACGTCCATCAGGTCCATCCCGTCTGACAAGGTATGTATTGAGTTTAATTTTTTAGATACCTCTGAAGACATTTAAGACTAAGTAAATTATTAATAGATTTTTTCAATTTGTTTCTTTTCTTAATTGTTTTTAATATCATGAATAGGTTAAAAAACATTGTCTGTTTTATTAGAAAGTATCTGCCAATACATATTATGACAATATTATAATATACAATTTACATGTATGAAATTGGTTTTGTTCATTTACCTATATATGCCATAAAGTTAACTAGATATTTAAATTTTAAGATTTACAATGTAAGTTGTTGTTTGTAAAGTATAATATTTTAGTAGTTAGATTAATTTTAAGAAATCCAGGATGTTTAATATTTTGTAGATTGTGTAAACTAATTTAAAGAGAAAGTACCAGTTCTTTTTTTTTGTTATGTAGGTGTAGAAATTATTTTTTTCTATCATAAGTAAATTAAAACTATATAAATAAACTACTCATTTAGATATATCAATTATTTTTTCTACATTTTAAGTTATTTAAACAAACTAACAATAATAAATATTTTATATATCTATTGTAATTTGTTTTTGATAACTTAAAAGGTAAAAAAAGTACAAATTTTTCTCTTAATAACCTCATTCCATGTTCATTTTAATAAACTTCTTTTGTAGTTAATTATTATAATATTTAGGTAAGCCTATTGACAATATAATAATAATTTGTACAATTTATTTATTCTTATGTTGATGATAACTTGGTATATAATTCAATTTATAAAGAAAAAATCCATCAATTGCTTATTTTATGAGTTTTAGTTATTAATAATTATATTCAAACGTTTAAAATACCCAATTATAAGTAGACATTGTTTTATTATTATTATTATTTTAGGTCATGTTATAATGTACTTAATAATTACTTATTTTGATTGTGGATGGTAAAGACACATCTATGTATGTATCATAAAGCTGCCACATGTAATATTTTCATTGATAAATGATGACACTTTACAGTTATAACAGTTGTGTTGTTTAATGAGGTGTCTATACTGTCCTCGATACTGTTTATCAATTTATTATTACATTATTTATTGGGTACTTATCTAATTAATTTTTACTTTAATTGCATGTTATATAATTATAGGTAATGTAGGTCCCTAATTGTTGCTTATGCAGACATAATGTTGGTTTAGACCTCGAGATAAAYGAGAATATATCTTAGACTTTAAATAAGTGGGTTTATTTTGAAAATTATTTTCATAATTAGGCAAGCATTTCTTAGTACATTGTAATATTTTTGTTTTTAAATATTTTTATATATTTTTATAACACATATTATTTATTTTACTACAGGAGCAATAAAATATTTTTGTAATACATAAAACTTAGAATATTTAGTATAAAAATTGTATTTTTGCTACTTGATTTTAAATTAAGCTATTAAAGTATACCTATAGGTAGCTTATAACTAATTAAAAGGTACTATTAGGTGTACCTATATTTTTATAATAACCATCTTGCATAGGTTATTGTTTTTATCAGATTTTGCTTTGTTTTTTTGACTGATTAAACAAGAAAATAGGTATGTAGGTACCCAATTTAATTTAGTACAAAGAATCTGAGTGGACAACGGAGACCGGTTATTTTTCTTATTGAAATATTTTATGAATTATGAAATATGAGGAATGTCAAATTTATTTTTTACTCAACACGGTACATTCACAAATTGTATAACTAATGTGTGTGTATGTTCTAAAGTAGCGGTTTCCTACCTTTTTGAGTCTATTAGCCAAAAATTGGGTAGGATATTAGTGAATATACCCTTCCCCGAAAAAGCTAGGAATCGCTCGTGTGCCTGGCCTTACATACATGTGTTATTGGGTTATTGGTTATCATAACCCAAATAGACCGATTCATGGTATCATAATAAAATGTAAAAAATATTATATTTTCTCTTTGTACATAATATGTAAATTGATTGTTTGTTCTGTAGAAGACCACAGATAATTGAGAGTACAAATGTATAAATTATTTAAAGTAGTAAAGTAATAATTATAATAATAGGTATAAGTCACATTAAATAAAAATAATTAGTTTAGTCTTTACCCCTCAAAAAATCCTATTCACCCCTTGGGAGGTAATTACTCCCAGGTTGAAAACCACTGTTCTAGAGTTTGTCCTGTATATATAAATATAATTGAAAGTGTTAATGAAAACAATATTTTAAATTGTTTTAATATCTTATATCTAAATATTTTTGTTAGTAACCTACTATACTTGGAAACATATATGTTGTTTATTAGTTAAATTTTTAGGTATCTATTTTATGTTGTATTAAAATATCAACAGGCTGTTGATTGTAAATTATAATCAAATATAAATTCCATTAAACTTTTGTGAAATTAATATATTATTGTCAAAAATTGAGCATTTATTAATATAGTGACAGTTGTGTAAATCGTAATAATTCTGAACTGCTAGCAAGGTTTAATACAATTGTTATATTATAAGACATTTTAAATAGGTAACTTTATTCTYTATAATATTCAAAAATATGATTTATTGTTGTAAAAWATTGGTTTAAAATTGGTTGTGATCATGATTTACAATTTACAAATTTACAATGTATCTAGGATTTAGGTACACTATAACTGATAAATAATTTGATTCTAGATTTTAATAAGTCAATCCCAATTCCTAAAAATTTAAATTTCTTTACTCAAACTTTATTACTCTTGTCTGATATATGTGAACATATAATTATATTTTGAGTTTTGGGACTATTTTATATTTAATACTGGCAGGTTAGTTAAATATATTCTTGTATTGGAATTTCAAAATAGTGTTAAGTATGTTGTTATTGATATTTTGTTTTGTTTCCATTTTGACTAGGATTTTGACCATACACTTTTTTTTTTTTTTATTAATTGTTTGTGGCATCAACTGCATGGCTATTAGCCGGCGTTACATATTAAATTTACATTAATTTCTTACATACTTGCTTAATTTCTACTTATTACCTATATTTAAAGATTTACATTTTAATCTAAGTTAGAATATTCAAATCAGTTGACGCAGTACTGTTGAGTTGACGAAATTGAGGAGTTTTCTTGGTCGTCTCAGGAGTGGGTGATAGCATCTCGTATAGTGTCTCAGGTAGTTTTAGTTCAATGCGCCTTTCACTGAATTTATGACATTCTGTCAGTATATGCTTGACTGTAATGATTGTTCCGCACGTCAGGCATGATGCAGGGTCTTCTTTGGCCATGAGATATCTGTGATTATTATGTTGTAATTATTATGATGCGCGTGTGGCCTATTCGTAGGCGGACAAGAATTGCCTCGTTTCTTCTGAACATCTCAAATGATTTGGGCCATGGTAGTATCGTATGTTTTATTTCCCTTAGTTTATTATTATCACATTTCGACCAAAGGTTTTGCCATTCATTCATGTACTTGAATTTGGTTGAGTTTATCAAGTCTCTGTCAGATGTGAGGGGGCATACTTCAAAAGCGGAGGTACCTGTTGTTTCTTTTGCTTTTAGATCAGCTTCTTCGTTACCTTGACCATACACTATAGGTATCATGTATATACAGGGCATGACAGGAAGACCTAACAAATTATATACATTTTGTTCTAACTTCTAATTAATGATTTTTATGTATCATTTTCTTCCGCATACATTACATGTATTATAATAAAATATATAACATTGTAAATTTTTAATARGTTCTAAAAATAAAGAATTTAAAATCTAATTAAATTTTTTTTGAAAAATTCAAAGTAGTAAATTTGGTTTTTAGAAAACTTTTGATTGTAAAAATATTTATTTAAGTCAAAAATTTTATTTTTTATGAATGTCTACAATTTTTGAAGAAACCCATTAATTTAAAAAGTTTTTACTGTTAAATTCAATACGTAAAATGTTTTCTATGACTGGATCAACTTTAAGTATACAACAAAAATAATGAAATTTAAAAAAAAATTTAGAAAATAAACAACCTATATGACTTAAATAAATATTTTTCATATTAAACATTTTTCTTAAAAACCTATTTAAAAATTTGCTATTTTGAATATTTAAAAAAAAAAATGATTATTTCCAGTACCTATATAAAAATAAAAATAAGAAATATTACATTGTGTGTGTACAAGAGTCAATGGATTATACAAGAAATTATATGTATCGGTATGTATATAATATATTTGTTGAAACAAAAGTTATTTAATTGTTCAGGTCTTCCTATTATATCTGATATACTCGCCTATATATTATATGTAAATATTGTCGGGTATAAAAAATTAAGTACTTGTTTGTTATATACAAATGTAATTACTGATTGGGTAGGTAGATACTTAAAGATAGAGTCATCTTAATTGCATATTAATTATAAGTATATTGATAATTGTAATTAATAGGAGGATTTTTACAACATGTTATTACTCATTAATATAAGTAATGAAAATTTTTTAATTTAAACTTTAACTGTATAGTTATTGTACTTTGTAGTTTGTGTACTTAACTATATATTTATTTTTCAATGATTTTTGTTTTTATTCAAATAGGAGACAATGTAAGTTAGTTTGTACTTACAATGTTATGAACTTTTGATTTTGATTTCTCAAAATGTACATGTTTATAAAATGTTAATTTTCCATAAGTTATTTCACAGGTGTAACATAATTATTATTTATTAATTACTATAATTTGAAAAAAATATGTGGGGTTGCTGCCATAGAAATCCAACTAATTGTATGCTGTATCATATTTAGTAATGCTTGTCAATTTCTAAGTAGAAAAACGTAATATGCATGTAATTGTAACTGTACAGTTTTTACTTTATTTTAACTTTACTAAATAAATACACTATACACAGGTGTCTATTTTGGTTTACCTGATGAGTATTTTATGATATTCAATTTATATGCATTATATTCACCTTGATTGAAATATTATTTTGAGGGACTATTTATATTTAAAGTTAATAAGTATTGTAATATTATATATTATGTTAAATAGATAAATAATATTATCAATCTTATATTATAATGATTTTACTATCAAGTAAAAATTTGGTATCACTTAACACAATGTTTGTTTTCCTCTTTGACTCATATGCAATATAGGTAAAATACTTTCACTAAAAGAGTTTTATTTTTATTTTTGAGTAACTTAAGAATAAAATCACCTATTAAAAAACAAGAAAGTATACCTAATAATATATCGACCTTTAATAAAAAAACTGAAAAATCAACTAGTACCTAGGATAAAATATAAATAATGATTTCAAAATGTTTTCAGAATATAAACAGTGCTTTAAATATATGACATATGAATACATCTTATGTTTAATGGTTAAAAAAATAACAATAAAAAAAAATATATATGTTAAAGAAAACTAATATAATATGATAATATTAGTACATATAAAAAATAAATATATTGATATAATATAAATATTTAATAATAAATAGAGTACATATTATAATATAATTGTATAAACTATATTTTAATACATCCTAAACATTTTGGTAGAAAAAATTTAATTTTAAATTTAGTTTGCTCCCTAATTATTTTTCAATGATTTAATTAATTTAAAGTTTTATTTTACATGACCTCAATATTATATACTATCACTATATTATATAAATATTTCATTTMTAAATTTAATATTTATTGAATTCTGATACATTCAGAGACCGTTGTATGAACTATACATTCAATGATGTATTCAAAACTATAATTGTTCTAAAATATATTGTACCATGCTGTTATCCAGGAGGTTTTACCATTTGTATCTATTATTATTTATTTAACGACCCAGATGCCATTGAAATGTATTATTGTTGTGTARAATATGTGTTATATTTTAGTGGGTATTTTAGTAACAGTCTGTAAGTTTTATTTGTATATGTTAATATACTGTATACAGTATATTTAAAAATGAACAAATAAAAATAAAAATATTGTGCTTAATTTTAATTAACAATGTATATACTATATAGTATAGACGCAGGTTGTGTATAATATTAAGAATACCTATCAAAATTTTTTTGTAGAATGCAAACATTTGTTATACCTGCAATCAGAAATCATTTTGGATCTTTTGGGATTATGAATCCTTGATTCATTTTCAAATATGATTTTAACTAAAACAAATATTATGCTGATAAATGATAATAGATCCTTGAATTTAATACTTGAATTTGATTAAGTATATTTAAGTATTTAAAGTTTTTTTATTTTATAAACACTAATATTTTATATTTATACTTACAAAGAACAAAAACCATTCAGAATCAGTTTTAAATATTATAATTATTCTCGATGATATTTATACGATCTGTATTTAAGATTTTTATTTCATTTTACGGTAAAGATAAATTAGCACACATTTTACAAGGCTACCAAATARGTGTAGGTATATTGATTTCTTTTTTTAAAGAAGCCCATTCAATGTCAACGATATTTATGAAAATTTTTATGAACTAGGTTATGTCAGTTACCTAATATACTTTATATTTATAGATAAAAAATAAATATATTTTATTAATTCGTAGGTTAACCGTTTGTATTAAATTTTACGTCGGATTTTTCTCAATACATGTCTGTGTTTTTGTGTCCATTACGATCACATTGGTTACTATAGAAGTTAGAAGTGTAGACTCTTATATAAAAGTTATTTTTGTTAACATTTTTACTGTGGCCTACTTTGTCACATTTTAACAATTTATAGACAAACGTCCAACAGATCAATGTAATATCAATACATTTTTTATACAAAGCTATTAAACATCTATATTATTTTTACTGAAATATTTTCTTGATAATAATTTTTATATCCGTTTTACAAGAAGTTAATCATTATAATAAAAAAAAAAACGTTAAAATGTAATATTTAATATAAAAAATAATTAGGTAGGTAGCTATATGTGTAATTGTATTAATTATGAATTAAATTAAATTTTTATTTTATTATTCAAGTAAATACAAAATAATTTAAATKAATGGTTCAATTTATTTATTATTTTCTTTTATTATCTTTTGTAGGTAATTTTTAGGTACTCGATATTGATCTACAAAATCCTTTAATCTATTAATAAATCATCTACAATACGTTCATATTTTATATTAAAGTATAATTTTATTTTAGTGGTATTTCATATTAAGTTACATAAATACTTTGTCAAGGAGGCATAATCTATTCAAAATATGTTAAGTATTCTCTTTCCTATTTTTAGAATAATTGAAAAAAAACCTTTTGTTGTCTGCAAGGTGTTTTGTTGACTGCTTGATATCAGCAGTTTTTCCCTTCCTCGCGTCTCTTAGTCTACCACAGAACCGTCAGAATATCGATTGTGCCCTTCACCCGGTGGGTTTCGCTCTTGCTCCCTCTGTTTTGCCTTGGAACTGAGCCCCGGTGACCCATTTCCGACTAGCAGGACCACCCTTTTTGCAACAGACGCATCCTATTTCCATGATTAAGCTACAAACGAATGCTTAAATAATATAATTAAAAACAACTAATAAATTGTATTTATTTTATGAAAAAACTATTCAACTGTATATTTTAAATGTGATGTTCCCTCGAGKTTATTTTTAAGAAATTACCACTCTAAGCGTAGATGACAAGTTTATATTTTATTTTATCAGAGTAAAGGCATGAATTACTAACTACTATGTGGACAGTAAATTATGTTTTGATATTTTTCAAGGTGGATACGATTGCGTCGGACGGGATTGGTCTTAAATGCTAAAATGGAATGATGTCAATATGTTTTACATAAGAAAAAATAAAGGAATAAATCAAAGAATTGAAATATTTATTAAATAAATAACTATGTACTTATCCATTTTATTAAATTTTTAAACTTTAGTCAATTTCAATTTTAGTAATAGTAGGAATTATAGTTTCGGGTGTATTATTACTTATTATGAATAAAATTATGGTATATCTACGAAATTGCTCTTAGAAAATAATAAGAATTGTATTAAAATTTCAATAATTTAATAGAAAATAGTTTAGATACATATAAATGTATTTATTGTAAGGGGATTTATATTCTAGTTTATATACTTAAATGTATTGTTGAAGTAGTTAATGAAAAATAATGTTTGGTTAATGCCTTAATAGTTAGGCCATGCTGTCGTCATTTTTATTTAGTTTTAGGTACGACCGTAGTACGTATAGTACTGCATTGTGATTGTGTGATCATATTTTTGTCTTAAGTATAATAATCTATTTTATTTATTTCATTATACAATATGATGATATTATTAAATATAATATTCTTCACCCAACACACGTACATATATCAATAATTATGTGATGTCCGTACATATTCTCGTCCTTGTTTGTAAACAAAGGCATACATTGAATAGGAGTAGGATGTGAATTTTACTTCCCAGTCTTCGATTGTTTATTTAATTTTGTTCTGACAGTCTGCTAGATCGTGAAATCTTGAGTTCYGATTTTGCGTCTTAACTATATCGACTCTAAGTTGACATTTTTAAATTAAAAAATGGTTTTCAGTTATACGCCAAAGAGCGATAAATTGTCTGTAGATCATAATTTAGTTGTTCTAGTGTCAATAGTTAATGATCTTAACCCTGAAGAATTGTTAAATACTAAGGTTTTTTATATCAAAAATAACTTAACTTAATTAATAAAGAAATTTGTTGGTAATAGACCCTTGCAGATATTTTTAATATTCATTTTTATGTTACAGATAAACCTCAGATTGATTCTTGTCAGCGGTAAAACTAAAGAATTCATATTTAGTCCTAACGACTCGGCGGGCGATATAGCTCAAGCAATTTTTGATAATTGGCCGGAAGGTAAGATTTTTTATATTAGTTAGTAGTATTAAATTTAGTATCTAATGGAAAATKTATATAATTAAAAATACTAAAAATGAATAAAATATTGTAAATYAATTGTATATGAATTAAAAATTAACAATCTACGACATTAAAGTTTTTGATACATCAATATAGTTTGCCGTTAGTGAAAATCGTCGTGAAATAATTTTTAACCTTCAATGGCTATAATAGAGACAATTAAGTAATTACTAATTATATTTTACGGTTTTGTACTAATCCAAAGCAAAGTTGGAGACTTATACCTAACCTTTTCTTTTTTAGTTAACAAATTATCGACATCATTTATAACAAATTAAATGTGTATATTTAATTCTCTCCATCACTTCATCTATTTAAAACAAGGCTTTGCACCCAAATGATTTATTCGGGTTATGGTTTCGGG